TATGAAAAATTCATTTCTGAAAATGTGTACATGCTTGGGAATCGGACCAATAGTTCTTGATCATAAACATTTCAAAACAACGCTAAAAGATTCATAGTAATAGCATTTTCTTGTTGCTCAATGTCTTTCTGTTCTTACTGTATGAACGAATATTTACTTCATCCGAGAGAAAGTTTTGAAGTGTATTATTCCATACTTTAGCGAATGGCATTCTACAGACTTGAAGAAAGTAGAATTATACATTCGACCTAATTTTTTTACGTATATATTCCGGGCATATTTCTTGGACTGTTGATCCAAATCTATTTGGGTCAAGTCTCATTAAGAGTATTAAGAGTGGACCTTTTTTGAGTGACAAATAAAGAAATTCAAAAGTCCAATATCTTTTTTTTTTTTTTCTTCTCCGTGTGCGTTCCTCGTCAGTATGTTGTTAACTTCATACTGATGTATGCAAAATTTATATATAATAATAAAAAGATGATTTGCAGTGCGTAACCAGCATGATAGTAATTAACTGAGTGAATGACGAGACAAAGAAAAGTGTACGTTTGATGGAGAGAAAAAAGAAAAATGTCAGAGCATGTAACTGATAGAACAAATTAAAAATTACAGAAATATGCACAACTCAGCTAACGAAAAAAGGAACAGGGAAAGACATAAGCGTATATGTTTGCTGCACGCATATATATATATGTATGTACATATATATATATACACGAGCATATATATATACACATATATATAGAGAGAGAGAGAGAACGATAACAAACAATGAACATGGAGTTATCTGTAATGGAATAAGTTGGCAACAATGGCGCATTGTTGGCGGAACGGTCGCTTCGTCGCGTTGACGGACACTATCGCCGGAGGTTGCGCTTCCTCCGTTTCGTTTTGCGTCCTCGCTCTTTCTCGCTCTTTCTCTCTCTCGTTTGCTACACGTAGTTACTAGTCGCCTGTCTCTCTCTCTCTCGCTCTCGCTATTCCCACTGGCTGACAGAAGACGTCACTCGTGCTGATTTGCGAATGTATGCCACGCGAGCGAGAGAAGGGCGAACGAACTAAATGGCCGCGTTGAAATTCGAAAGGGACTATTGAACTATTACAGCTCGCAGTCCAAGTGCGCGTCTCTCCGAAATCCGACCTCTTTCACGAGATTTCAAATAAAGAAATCGAGATAGGCGGGAAGCGGAAGCAGTCGCTGTTGAAAGTTGACGAACAACGCGAATAATAGCCGAGCATCGATTTCATCGGGTCGACTATGTCATTAGAAAGTGTAAGTAGCCATAGTTATGAAAGTTGACAAAAGAAGCTGCATTATTAGTTGCATATCGATTCCGTCAGATCGATCGCGTCGTGGCAAACTTTCCTCGTGGCATTATAAATTTTCGTGCATACATTTTCGAAGCCGCAGCTTTCGGCTCCGAAAGCTTTTTCAAACAGTTCGGGCTAAGTCGGTGTAAAGGCTTAAGAGGAGCCAGCAGACAAGATTTTGAGCTGTTCCTGACGTTGTCGCGATGCCGCCACTTAAGACGATAGTACGAAGACGAGTTAAGTCGTTTATGAATGGAACTCATTGCCTGGCGCAACGTGACGCTAATCTGCAATCTCTAAACTCCCTTGGCCCTTGTAAATGCCGCTAGCGACATCGGGAGGAAAAAAAAAATAGATAAATATAAAGAAACGAGTTGGCGCGAGACCGATTTCTCAACGTCAAAACAAATCAAAGACAAATGAAAAGCGCATTCTGGCATAACGCACTCGAGCGAGCGGGGGACCATTCCAAGTGCACTTTCGGCCGTATCGCGCGAGTCATGACGTCAAAGCTGTTGCTCTCTCACCCTACTTGCTCGACAATAAAAATTTACTCCGCCAAAGTAGATAGACAAAGGACTCGAGCGAAACAAAGATGCGACAAGCGGGGCATAATGCGACAGAGTTAAAAGTATTAAAATCACGATGTTCTTTCCGCACCCTCGACGCAGCGAAACAGAACGCGTATATCTGGCGAGGATATCGCGGAGAGAGAGAGAGCTAGACACTGAGAAACGAGACAGACGAGCGGAAAAATTTCGAGTTTGAGAGTGCAGGCGTAGCGGCAGCAGCGGCAGCAGCGACAGCAGAGGCAAAGGGGTAAAGAGGCTAGGAGACAGTGTCAAAGTGTGCGAGGGAGACGGAAAAAGTGCCGAGTGCGTAAGAGCCAGAAGATGAAAGGAATTTTCGAGGGTATGTATATCTGCACGGAAAGAGAGAGAGAGAGAGGGAACGAAGATCAGACAGAAATGGAGCTTTATTCAAAACTTTCGTCGACGGATTTTCTCTGTGGCAATTTACGTAAGCGACGGCGTACGAATGATCGACGTGGCACAATCAGCCACGGATATTTATCGAACGCTTTGAAAGAAAACAAAGAGAAAAGTTGACTAAAACAGGCCCGGAGGAGCGCTGGAGCAACGCGAAAACGCGGAACGCACCGAAAGGCTGGCGCGCCAGTGGCACTGCAGGCGTACGGATATCGAGAGGGACACAGCGCCGAGGACGAGAGCAAGAGAGCGAGGAGCCGGCGCTCGAAAGAAAGAAAGAAGAACAGGGCGGGGGAGGGGGGGGGGGGGGGCTGCTCGGAATTAAGCATCTCGCCTGAAGAGACTCCGAGTCACTTGAGCGTATCCCTCCGCGCGCGACAAGGATTAAAATCTCTGCCTCCCTCCCGAGCCTTCGGCCCCCTCGCCGTGGCAAGGCTGGCGCGACCGATGCTCTCTGTGCGCGCGCCGTCGATATTAAACGGATGTTTCGATATCCGCGATTTTCGAGCCGTCACGCGCCAAGCTGGATAAGCGCGATCGCCGCCGCAGATAAATTTAATTAGGTGCGTTTTGTGCTCGGCAAAAATCCGAAGCCCTCCGCACGGCTGCGCTCGCGTCAGCCGCCACTGCTCTCGCGCGGCTCGTTCGTTACGCGATCGTCGTCATCGGCCCCAACGCATTGTCGAGCCACGTCCGCTCGGCATCGCAAATTCACGGGGCTCGCCGGCGAAAACATTGCGGATCGTCGACTCCGCGTCCGGTTAGCCGTCATCTTCGCTTTTTGCCATTTCCTTTTATCCGCCTTGCGAGTGGCACCCTCCAGGCCCATTCGTATTAAGCCGCGCGCGATATATGCCTCGCGCGCGGCGTACAACACACGGCAAACGAGAAAAAACGAGCGCTCACGCGGGATCGCGATCTCGGATATCCAATAGCATTAGAGCCGAGTCAGAGGCGAGTCCGGGGCCAATGAAAAGCGGAGAACGAGAGAGCGAGTTACGGCCCGGTGCGCGGCGCATCAGCGCCAGCCGCGGGATCACCATAAGGTGGGATATATTCGGCCGAGGCCTCCCCGCGGGAATTTCGGGGATCAGTCGGTCGCGCTCGCGAATTTCGGCGTCTCGCACCACCCTTTGCGCGCCATACCACGGGATATCGGATGAGAGCTCGCGCGCCTCAGGCTCGCAGGCCGAGCTGCACGGCATTGTCGCGGCTGCCGAGACGCGGCGAGATAATGGAGGCTCCCGGCGGAGTTTCGGCATCTCGCGGCCGAGTGTCCAAAGAAAAATTGCCGGCTCAGCGAGGGAGCGACGTACGCGCGGCGAGGGCCTTCCAGCCAGATTGCACGCGATGCGCCGCCAGCGTCAATAGGCAATCAGCCAAATCGAAATAATCACTTAATAAGTCCCGGATGGCTCGTTTTCAACGGGCTACAAACTAGCTGGAGCCCATCGGCCGGGAGAGAGAGTAGAGAGGCAAAACAGCGGAAAAAGAACAAGAGAGCATAGAAGAGCGAGAGAGAGAGAGAGGGCAGAAGTATATAAAGAGCCAGGCGGCACGCATCTGTGCGGGACGATTAGGCGGGAGGGTGGCTCTGGCGCGCGACGTATATACGCGCAAAAGCGACGAGGAACCGTGGCGAGAGGGAGGCTCGGTTTCAATTAGAAGCCAGTAAACTCTCCCGGGCATTGTTCATTTCACTCTAGATTTGCACTGGCTTGTTTGTTTGTTGCGCGCGCGTGCGCGGCCCTCTTCTATTTGTATCGCATGCACGTCGAGGCAAATCCGGCGTAAAGCAAAGAGCTGGCAAACGAAACAAAAAGGAGAAAGGGAGGGGAAAAAAAAAAAAAAGAAAAAAGAAAAAAAAAACAGCGACGAGGGCAAGCGCCGCGATTCCGTCTTTGTTTGTCTGGCGAATGACGGCGCCAAAAGAATGCCGCTCGCTCGCCGCTCAGAAATGATGGCGCGCCATCGGACAGACGCGAAATAATGACGCGCGCCCCAGACCTCTCTCTCGCGTTTTATTGTCGCTTTCAATTCCGCGCCGACTTTTCATCGCGCGCGCAACCTGCAGCCGACCTCTCTCGCAATGCCTTCCTTTCGGCGTTTCGGAAACAATAAATTCAACCTGACGTCCCGCGCTTCATTCGTTTCCTCGCGGCGAGTCGCGAGCAGCGCCAGGCGACCGAATCATTGCCGCTTCCGATCTCCGTTTGTCGTGTGCGCGCGCGCCGAGACCTCTTGCACGGATAACCGCACTGGAAAGCATTTTAAACTACTTACTCCTCGTCGTCTCCAGTCTCGGATAACGGTCCCACTCGAGTATTCTCGTATCGCCGATAAGCAGCATAGGTTAACGAGCATCGGTTGCTCTGCAATACAAACTACTCGGAGCGCTCGACCGAGTTACCGTCCCATTGTGCGTGTTCGGCAAACGGAAAAATTCAGTGGTACGCCTAACCAACGCGACAGCGAGCTCGCGTAGCGATTCTTCAAAAGTGAAGAGCTGGGAGTCGGGCGGCGTGCCGCTGCCGCTGAGTCGCCGCTTTAGATATTGGAAGGCAAAGTAACATTGAGGCTAATTTTTTGTTCGCCCGCATTGTCCTCGCCTATTTTCGGCTCCTCTCATCCACTATTTTCTTTATCTCCCTTCCACATCTCGCTGGCTCTCACTTCGCCCGCTGTATTTTTAATAACCTAATGGCCTCTACTCTTTCACGCATGGTAAGTTGTCTATTGTGTCGCTGCAATTCTTTTTTCTTTCTTCTTTTCGTTTCTCGTAGATTCTACGATGGACCAACCATTGAAACTATTATATTAATTGTACAGGCAACTCTTTGAAATTAATGAAAGTTTTTGAAAGCTTGTAAGCAACTAAATGGCCTAAAGATGCCTATACCAAAATGTATAATGAACAAACGTCATAGTTATTCTAGTCAGGACGCTCGAGTGAACAAAAGTTAATATTTAGAATATTTACTACGCAGCATAATGTATTGCGGTGTTTGCTATTATAATCTCCAGTACACGCAGGAAGCACGCCTCGAATGCTAATTTGTGAAAAAAGAAAAATTGGATTTTTCGCACGTTCGAAAAAGAGGTAGGTGAATTTGTTTATTGCGAGCTCAGCTCCGAATGTAGGAGAATCAATCATTTTTTCAAGCTATCGAATAGATCGATGACTTGGAGTGCACCGAGTCTGTCAGGAAATTAGTCACCTTTGTAAATACTGTACGTCAGTTATTCTTATTGTTAGAAAAAACTCAGATTATACGGCGCGAAGTCATTTTTTATTCCGTGTTAATGTTGTCATTGATTCGATGAATGTCGCAGCAACGAAAGTATGGATTTGGCAGTTGTCGCGTGGCTGCTAGGCTTGTCGGCACTCCTCACTGCAACTCCGGTGGAATCATCCCCGAGGTCCTGTAATGGCGCTCGTGTTCGCGTAAGTTATACCACAGTCCTCGCGGCACTTTCTCGCGGTGATGCAGCAGCAAGACCTTAAAATGTATAGAAGGGAGGCGCGGCGAAAGAAACACTAAGATATAGCAATCAAAGAAAGCTTAGTCGACTTCTCAAAATCGTATGCCCCTGGGGTATTTGATTATTTTAGTATCTTCATGCCTGTGTCGGTCTGGACAACTGTTCGCACAGTTTTGGTTTCTCGCTCCTTGAGCTCCTACTTCCGCTCATTTTTTTTTTTTTTTTCTTTTTTTTTCGTTTCTGCCTTTCATTGTTGCCTCGGCAATGCCAACGTTCTTACTGCAGATGACAAAATGACAAAGGAGGGTCGCCCGGGGCCAGCGATATTACCGTTTCCGTTTCGGAACTATGTGCGCCCGTCGACTCTCTCTTTCAGCCTCCCTCCAACTCAGAAATGACTTTCCTCTCTCTCTCTCTCTCTCTCTCTCTCTCTCTCTCTCTCTCTCTCTCTCTCTCTCTCTCTCTTGCTCTTTCGGCCGCTCCTCGGCGGCGGCTCTCGTCTTTCTGAAAACCGCAAAGACCTATCTGCTTGCTCTCGCACACCTATCCGCCTTCTTGATTGATTATACACGTCGCAATTTTGGCTGTTACCCCAGCCGCAGAAGGAATTAACGCGCACCGCGCTCAAGCGTCAATTGATCCGAGCACGCGCCCAGCCGCTACGCTCCAAATACGCCGAGCTCCTTGTCAAATCTGCGAGCGTTCGTCGCGCTATTTCTTTTCGCGACAGATCGGAGCGCTACTTATGCGGGAGAATCGAGCCGGTCAACTCGATCGTCGCGTTGTCTCGAAGACTGGTACCGAGCGCATCGCCGTCGCCCAACTTATCGTTCGTCCGTTTTCTTTTTTTTTTCCTCTTCTTTCAAAATTAACACACGCTGATGGCGAAAGAACGAGAGGAAGCAAGGGAAAAATGTTTCATTAAAGCCCAGCGGGACATTCCGCGCGATAAAAGTAAGTCGCGCGGTGCTTCGCACTAGGTGGATGCCTCGAGTAATTAGATACAAGCTCTCTTGTCTTCCCGGCGGTGTTTAACCCTTTTTTCCTCCGCGCGCGTCTGTCGTCCTCGCCGCGCAGACCCCGAGCAAAGAAGCGCAATCGCGAGCGGCAGCTTGCCGCTGGGAATGAGATGCAGATTGCCAGAGGCCACTTCACTCTTGCTCTCTCGCTGAGGAGGGGGAGTGAATTTTTAATAACACCGCGCACGCTTATATACCTGCGGCGGCGTGCATATCCATCCCCCCATTGTCTTCACGCGCGGCAACGCAAAACGAAAGCAACGCAGCGAGAGAGACGCCCCATTATTATAACTGGAAAATAGGGATGAGCACGCAAACGCGCGCGGACTCGACCGAGAGGCAAGGGTAATTTCCTATCTTCGTTTACTTCCCGCTGCTGCTCGGCTACCGTGTAGCGCTTCTCTCTCTCTCTCTCTCTCTCCCTCGCGCTCGAGTTTTTCGTCATTTTTCACGTGCCGCTTTCTTTTCCGGGTTATTAGTTAATGACGAGTCTACGACGATAGCTAATATCCATTTTCTCCACGAGTTTCACCACGGGTACTCGTATTTTTAGGAATTCGGAAAAAGTTGCGAAGAACGATTTAACGGCTTTCTAAGGGACGTTTTACGCGCTCGTGACGATTTGAGTTGGATAGATCAGGTCGCGTACCAGATGCACTCCACAAAATTATTTCGCGCTAAGTACGCCATTTACCAAGGATATTTGTAATATTAATCGATGTATTACGTGGATTTCCATATACCGATATTATTGACAGGCCGAATCTAGAGGAAAAGTTGGGAAGCATGTTCTTCAACAGCGAACAACGAGTATGGACTCCGCAAAAATATACGAACGCCATTATTCCCAAGCGTTATAGAAGGCATTCGAAGCAAACAGAGGAGTCTTTAGCGAGCGGCAATGTTGCATCGCGTGCGCGCGGTGAAAACGTGTTGGCAAATAAAAAAAATTCAAATTCCCCGAAGCGCGAGTACAATGCTGGCTCGCTGCTTCAGCGAAATTTCAGCTCCGCAATGAAGTCCGCACAAAAGATTCGGACGAAGAATGGAACGGCAGCGACGGCAGACCCACTCGAGAAAATCCTACAATTGATAAATGTTTTCCCCGTGGAGGATGATCGCGACGCACTGGGCGCGCTCGCATTTGGCGATGACGCTGCACAAAATCATTTTCAATCGGGGCTATCCAGGCATCAAACTGCGGGGCCATCCTCGAGTAACGAGTCTTTTCGCGAGAACCATTCCGGAATGCGAAGGTCATTGAAATCCTCGGCACCGGGTTCGTACGCGCTTTACCGTATCGTTTGCAAGCTCCGATGCGCGCGTTATTAATATTCCAATGTTGGATTACAGACGCCGATGCAGTTGCAAATATCAACTTGGATTTATCTCGATCCGAGGATACAAGAGCTGCAAGTGGAGATTTGGCTAGGGAAATTGTGGATGCGATATTTAATAAAGTTCGAAATAAATTCCATCTATAAGCATATAAACGATGGCAAAGTATTTCATGAAAAAACTGCTTTTCAGCTTAAAGCCAGACAAGGATTCAACGTGCCTATTTCTCAGTTTTATACACTTTCGATGAACTCGAAACTGGTTGACGACCCCAAGCGAGGAACAACAAATTTAGTACCGAGATTAGAGAGACTGCAATCGATAGTACATTTCGTTTCAAAATAACATACTATATTTTTTTCCTCTTTAGACGGACGAAAATCAAATCTTTCCAAAGAAAATAATGGCATTTGTTCAGCAACTGATTACCGAGGAAGCAGCCAAAAAGTCTTGTGCTACGCTGAAACCAGAACTTTATGACTTTTTAGAATGGCTCATCGATAACGACGTACGTTTGTTTTTATATGAAAACAATTTTCAAATGCTATTTCCATATTTATTTGGCTGCATGCATTTAGCTGGATAACGATGAAAACGTTAATCTATTGGGAGAGAATGTAAACAGTATTATAGAAAATAAACCTACGAAAAATAACTCCATTGTCAACTTGGGTGAATGGTACGAAAAAGCTCAGAGTTTGAAACACTTATTGAATGAATATGACGGACTTTCTAAGAAACAGAAGATTAAAGTTCAAGCTATTTACGAGTACTTGGTATGTGTTTCTTTTATTACGAATTACAATGTAACATTAGAAAAAATAAAAGACATTTCTATCAATAATTTAGGCTTCAAGATTTGAATTCGTAGAGGCCTACATCAAAGCTTTCGAAGCACATGAAATATCAGTAGATCAGTTGCTTAGAATACGAATCGATTAATAGATCATGTTCATTTAATTAATTTTTATAAAGTTTGTTATTTTTAATAAATATTTCGATAAATTAAAATATAGATATTTTATTATTGTAAGATTAAAATTAAAAAATTATGTATATCTATAAAATCGTTTAAAAGTCGTCTTATTTTATTTCCACTTTTCGCTGCATAAAGATTCAATTTTAAAAAAGACAATAGGAAATATTGGTTGATAATAGTTATTCTATGTAATAATCCTACATTCTATACGTCAAAATAAAGTTAAAGGATATTATTTATGGCCAAGCATAATAACAAAACAATATTAAATATTTTTGAAGGTCACATGAAACAAATATTCCTATATTTTGACACGTCTTAATTTTAAAAACTATATGTGTACAAGTGTGTACGTTGGCCTTCGGAAAATGTAAAACAAACACGTGATAAAATATTTAGCTATAATACGGAGAAAATCTAAAACCACCATAGAAGATGAAAACGATATAAAATATAATGCATTGCGACTGAGAAATATATATATATGTATATATATGCTAATCACCCATCGCTTTACATGTATACTACACGTCCGATGAGTGAAAACCTCGGAAAAATGTAATAAAACTTATCGACTCATACGATATTCGAGTGAGTTTTTTACAGTCTTATAAAATTGACCATAATTGCAGATATTGCGTGAAAAGTTTGGTAGCTTAATCGGTAGGTTAAATTCCACCTTCGGCAGTCTTTTACCGACACTACCATGGAAGGTTACATTCACGGAAATAAGTCGGTCTGGTTCATCAATCTAATGTTATATGTGTTGTTTGATGTAAAGATTTACGATCGTGAAGGCGAATTAAAAAGTTAAAGTTAATGGTTTCAACTGTAAGCTTGTCTAAAATAAGTCAAATATTTTATCCAAATAAATGATCTTTCAAGCAATCTGCGTCATCAAGTTTGATAAACGATGTTCGCAATCAGTTAACTATACACAACAGCGAACACCAGATTTGATGTTGAAATTACCGACAATTTTATAATAATATTATCATGGCTAAAGAACCTTACAGGCCAATCAAAGTCCTCACATTTCTATTCATCAAAAGTAACATTGCACGAGTATTTATGACTTTTATTGATAAATTCGTTGGCAGCTATGTAGTATTCTGTTGTATTACTGTATGCCAACGAATTTCTAAACGCATCTCACATTGCACGACCATTGCTGTAGTTAAATCTATATTTAACAAGGCTTTGGGTGTCTTATAAAAGCGTATACACACTTTCAGTATTTTTATCTGCTAGTATAAAGCTACGAGCACTGTTCTGTTTCGAAAATCCTACTACGATAAACTGGTTTTCTGATACGGAACGTGAACCCACGCACGTGCACGATCACCAAACGTACGAGCAATCGTTATTTATACTTAAAAATATTTCAATAAATAATCAGAGATCGTAATTGAACAAATTGTTTACCGATTAATATATTCATATATGAGGCGAACATTGACAAAATGTTTCGAACAAAAAATAATCTCACGAACAATCTGAGAAGATATGACTAACACTATTACATTGACTCACGTAACTAATAAATTAGCGTCTTTGGATGGATAATCATTCGATTGTCTGATCCATGTTTCTCAGAATTAATCTTCCACTACTGATATATCAATTGAACAATAGCGGAAAGGTTCATTTTTAACTATTTAAATATGTCGAAACATCTTCCAAATTAAGCCGAACGTTGTATATTTAAAAAGCTTCATTCACATCAATAGAATAATCATGCATATCAATTTATAATATGATAACTAGAAATTTATAGAAATCCAAGGTGTAATGTAATATGTAATTAATGTACGTAAATTAATTAATTTTAAATTAATTTAAATTACTTTTAATGTACGTAACGGAAATGAAGAAACAAGTCCATTTTTCACTTTTTTTTTTAATATTGTAACTTCTTCACCATTGAACCAATTGTGCTAGAAACAGTATACTCAAATAGTCACAATGCCTAATTTCTGATTATTTTGACTTACTATTGGGCTTTGTTAGATTATTTTATTGACCTGACAAAGTTTTCAAAATCCCATTGACATAAGTATTAACGTAAGTAACGATAAAAACACTGTTTAGATAAGCTGCGAAGTTTGATGTACAATTTATTACAATGTAATAGCTATACGACACTAAGCACCTTATACGATCTATCAGCGTCGTATCATTTCATAAGATTGTCTTCACCAAAGCGTTTTATATGCAGTCTATAAGTATCTTCATCAACTCGGTAACTGTAGCCAGCATTTGGTTTGAAAGTTTCTAGTGTCATTGAGTAATTATCAGCTGAATTGAATAATTTTTTAGTGGTTACGTAACATCGTAGCTGAAGTCATAGGCGTTCTAAAAATTTCTTTTAGAGTCGTGCAGTATCAGTTGCAATGATGGCATTTTGAGTATGTATCAATTTCAAGCTAAAAACAGCTCTTTAACGAAGCTTGATTGAGTACTGCTTACTCAGAGCATTACTTAGTCGATTTATACATGTTCAAACGCATGTAATCTTCGGTATTTCCAAGGCGTTTACCGTTAAGAGAAACTAGATTTTCTACGCTCATATTTCGCGCGAAACCGCGTACATGAATGGAGCGCTTGCAATCATTTATGGAGCGATTTATTTTCTATTTGAATGTTCATTTGAAGAATGTAAATAACACCATTGAATAATTTCACTTTGAGATGTTTATTTCCTTAATAGGACGAAACGAGACTTCGCATAGCTATTTTGATGAAATTAATATGCGCATGGGATACTTGCAACGAAAGAATGTTCTAGATGAAAAGCAATAGCGATACTTTATTTTGATTTTAATTAATGTTGTTTTATGAAATCGTAAACAAATTACTCGTAAAGTAATGTTATGTAAATTTTTGATTATTTATTTTGTTTCGGTTATTTCTGAAAAATTATATAAAATAAGTTCATAAACTAAAAAAATATAATACGTATTGATAAAATTCGATGGTTCGTCGCCATATATCCCTTATGAATATGGAAGTCCCAATATTAGCATTAAACGTTAATCTACAGTTTGTTAGATGTGATTTTCTTATAAGACCTTAGAAAAAGTTTAAAACGAAAAATGTATTTTGTTAGAGTACGATGAAAAGTGGTTTTATGGATTGTTAATAAACAAAATCAGACATCAGACGAGAACATTATTATCGAAGATAAAAATAATGGAGCTGTTCTGGTAGTAGCTTGCGTTAATTAATGATCCAATGGATTTGATATCGGTATAGCTAAAGTAGGGTAAATTATATTCTGCGTACCTAAACTATCGATACGAATATGGATCGGGAGTCTTTTATCTATTTTTGGCAAGCTCAAATTTCATAAATTGACTGCACTGTAAATAATCATAAAAAATTAAATACAGAAAATGGAGACTAATATACAGGAGTTTCACTTATTAATGCTCATGATGATTTAAGTGTGACATGACATAGTTTAAACTCGAGAACAACCTTCCAAAATAAAATAAAATTAGATATGTTATGGATGATCGGCTTGCGAACGAGCAGTTTCTCCTTTCTCTTTCGTTTCCTTGGCTCAAATACCCAAACTTAACATTTGTGCTAGGTGTGCACATCAGCTTCGTCGCTCAAATAATGACACAAAGAAGATGGAAAAAAAAGTGTCCATGCGGTGGCTGGCCGCCGAGAAAAGTATATTCCCCTTGCTGCATGAAGGGAATTAGCACGTGCGAACGAACCGAACCGCATCTGTACGCCCGTTTTACTTTCACGACCCTCCTCGAAAACGGAAGATGGAAATTTTGTCCAGCGTACGACCACATGCGAGTAGTATTTAAGGTAGTTTAAAAAAATAAAGCAAGTAAATTTAAGAGCGAGTAAAGAAAGGGAGAACGGTTATAAGAACTAGCCATTCGAAGTAACCATAAAGGCACGGACTACGAGTGAGGATGAATTGTCAATTCGCAACGAATGCGCGCTAGCGGAATGAAAAAAGTAAGCGATCATCAGCGGATGACCATCGGCGTTGGTGCGTACGAATTATAGAAAGCCCTCGATCCCGCAATGCTCGTAAGGTGAGACGAGAGTGCGCGGTGAAATGCACTCGCGATTTTCGCCCGCGAGCGCTTCATCACGAAGGGGACTCGATTAATTCCAAGTTGGCAACTAGCAAAGGACACCAGATCTTTCCCAAAAGACAACCAATGGGCCACAGGCCACTAGCGAGGCCAAATTACAATTACTCGAGGGAGGAGTGGGGTAGTAGAGGGCGCGCGTCTCCACAAAAAGAAACAATGCTTCCCGAGCTCTTTTAGACCTTCACCTGCGGGAGAGAGGGAAAATGCAGCAGCGGCGGCCTGCAGTTTTTCCAGCCAGACGCGCTTCCATTTCTTTTGGTCGTGTAAGTAAATTTTATTTATTCGTTTCTAATATGAAACATACGTATAAATTATAATCTTCCATAATTTCATTCTTCATTCATCGTTTTATTTTATTAATTTGTGAATATATATATTTTTTTTTCGAATAACAACTAATTGATCGGATTGCATTTTGAACTGTGTAGGTACAATCATGATGCATGTATAAATTCTCTACCTACGCTCTTCCAAAAAGAGATGGCGGAGATCGGTTGCGGCCCTCTCATATATGACTATACAAGTAGCCAATACCGTATATACGTAATGCGTACGGATACCTAGTATACTTTTGCGAAATTGAAAGTGAACGTAATTCTTGAAGTAACAATAACAATAACAAACTAATATAAGTCATGTTTATGATACTAATGATGTAAATAATTACCATGGACAAAAAATATACTTGAATCATGTTGTATCTATCCATGCTCTTTTCAAGCGAAGAAATGGTAACGTGAACGAATACATTCGAATTATCTCAAAACGGCTGAAACGTCCTTTGTAATAAATATAATATATGGATTAATACAACGTCAATGCAAGTATATCTTTTA